GATTCCGATGCTAGCATCGGTATCGGGACATCCCTAATTTTAACCTCTTTATAATACATAGAGTGGGATTTATCAAAATTGGAGCAGACAGAATCTGGAGCAGTTGCCCATAAAAGGCAATCAGCGTCTATCTTCAGTTTCGATCGTGCGTCCAGGGATAGGGATTACATGCGGTGTGCCGGCACTCAAATGCAGCGGCTGTCACCTGATCATGAACACTGAACGAGTGACAGCTGCCACTGTTAACGGCAGATTAGGGACTCCTGCTGCAGGAAATTGCAAGTTTCTGATGCAAGAATCCTCAAATGCACCTATACTGTAGGTTTGAATGGAGCCAAATTATTTGGTTGATTTCATAATCAATACTATCTGTTTAAAGTCTGGGATTCTATTCAAGTAGCCAGTCTTGACATTTTTTAAGGGCTTTCAAACAAAATGATTGTAATGATGGCATCATCAAATGCTCTGACAGACGATCGTTTAGAATTTCATACCAACGTTCAAACAGAATTCTAACACTGTATGGCTAAGGCTCCATTCACACAGCGGTAGTGTTTTTCCGCATGGAAAACTGCACAGAACGAAACTGCAAATTTTAACATATTGCTATAGCCGGAATGTGCGGAATCCACCATAAAATCCTGCTTGTACTATTTTGCGGGACCCGCGGTTCTGTACTGTGCGGCCGCTGCAAAAGTCTGAACAATGCACATTGCAATACATTGTTTTTTATGTTTATGTGCATATTCGCAAAACCGATCATGTGTGAATGGAGCCTAACTTTTCAATGCATGCTCAGTAACTCAAAGAAGGGTGATAACTGAGGGGATTGGGGCCGTGAGTAGGCGGTTCCGGTGGCTGGGATCTGGGCAGGACCACTTGGAAAGTGGGCTGGATCTGGGTGGAACTGCTCAGAAAGTGGGCATGTTAAGTGTAGGCTGTAGCCAGGGGTAACGTGGAAGAATATGGTGGCAAGCCTACCAGTGTGTGTATGTGAGAGTAAAACCATTAAGTCCACACAGAAGCCTTTTGCTTCAAGTTGCAGCTTTCTTGTAGACCTGGTTTGTTTTGTTTTGTACTGAAAATCAACACCATTCTAAAAAAGCCCCAGAACAACTCTACCGACATATAAATGGACTGGTGTTAGGCTGTATAGGGCCCCGGGCACAAATGTTAGCATGGTGCCCCTCCTCCCGCTGAAAGAAAAACAGGATCTTGTTCCTTTTATATGCCGTGAAAGCCAACAACGAGAAAAGCAGCTTTATTCAATTTCACCCCACTCTCTGATATTCATATTACATTGTGGCATTGTTCCCTTTATACTTAGTCTAACGTCACAGGGGTCTCAATAAAGGTCGAGGAGCGCTCATTATTTTTTTGTGCATTGCTTGTGATTTGTGAGCCCTTTCTGCAATGCTAGATGGAAATATCGAGCCCCTTAAGCAATTGCTGACACTGGACACTCAGGGAGACTTTCCTCGTAGTTGTACGCTGCAGTTCTGTGAAGTATTATAGCACTGTCATAGGCTGGAGTGTCATGGCAAGCCCTGATCTTTGTTGGCGTCATTTGAGGATGGACAGAGATATCATTGACGGGGACATCTCTGTCCCTCTATGATCAGCCTAAAACTGGGTACACACAGATCAACAAGTCTTCCGCTGTGTACATTGATTTCTGACAGCGGTGCCAGCATCTGCCAGAATAACCAAACAGTGCTTGCAGCTAATTGGCTGGAAGCACTTTTCAGCCGACAATTTTCCAGCATGTCCCTTTGACAAAAGTTGATGTAATGATTGACTTCTGTTGAGGAGGGAGGGCCACCCATGGATCGAATTTCAGGTTTCTACTAAAACTTGACCGGCAGAATACCTGAAATGTGACTGCAGTTGATTAACTGTATTGACTGTTTGGTCCAGCTCCTTCGTAATCGACCTTTTGTCAAGCTGGCAGGGCCAGGGTAAGACTTTCAATCAATTTTTGCAAATCAGCTGAAAGGCTGGCCATGCAAGTTCAGATTTCTATTGTTCGGCCCCATGGGTTGAACAAGAAAAATCAGTTGCTTCCTCCATCAGTTTGGATGGAAGAATCTCCCCTGCCGGATTTTGAATTTAGACAGCCAGCGCCTGCCTAAACCCAGTCACTCTTCAGCCGACAATTTTCCACGTGGCCCAGCCGTTTTTTAAATTGACTTTTATCGGGCAAGGTGGTGCCAAAATGGCCACCCAAAACTCAATTTCAGTCGATTCAGCTGAAATTGGCTGAAATTCTAACAGTTTATGGCCAGTTTAAGTTTCAAGGGGTATAAGACAGCTTTAAGAATGAGGAACGGGGAAGATGAAGGAGGGGAGGAGTTAGGCACTAAGACTGAGTATTGAGATAAATACTAGATTACAATTACTAGAATCTCATAATCTTTCAAATGTCACTGTAATTTCAAAATCAATTTCAATATTTTTAACACTGTGGCCTTCATTATAATAATAACTGGGGATCCTGCCATATATAAGGTGACAACAATCTGCACCAGGGGAAGACTGAGCACAGCAACAAGACACAAGGTAGTTATACTGCACAAGGTCTCTCCCTGGCAAAGGTTTCTAAGCAGACTGGGGTTTCAAGATGTGCTGTTCAAGCTCTTTTGAAGAAGTACAAAGAAATGGGCAACGTTGAGGACTGTAGACGCAGTGGTCAGCCAAGGAAACATAGTGCAGAAGATGACAGTCACATCATGCTTACTTCCCTTCGACATCGGAAGATGTCCAGCTGTGCCATCAGCACCAAACTGGCGGAAACCATTTGGACCCAGGTACACCCACCTACTGTCCCGAGAAGTCTGACCAGAAGTTGTCTTCATGGAAAATCCATACCTCAGATGTGGAAACAAGGCTAAGCAACTCAACTGTGCATGAAATCATAGGTGCAGAATAATGTCAGCAGGTGCTCTGGACTGATGAGTCAAAATGTGAAATATTAGGCTGTAGCAGGAGGCGGTTTGTCCGCGGAAGGGCTGGAGAGCAGTACAATAATGAGTGCCTGCAGGCAACATTGAAGCATTGTGGAGGTTCCTTGCAAGTCTGGGGCTGCATTTTTGCCAATGGAGTTGGTCAGGATCAGTGGTATCCTCAATGCTGAGAAATACAAGCAGATACTTACCCATCACACCATACCATCAGAGAGGCGTGTGATTGGTCCCAAATTTATTCTGCAGCAGAACAACGACCCCAAGCATACAGCCAATGTTATTAAGAACTATCTTCAGCGTAAAGAAGAACAAGGAGTCCTGGAGGTGATGGTTTGGCCCCCACAAAGCCCTGATCTCACCATCATGGAGTCTGTCTGGGATTACATGAAGAGACAGAAGGATTTGAGTCAGCTGACATCCACAGAAGAGCCGTGCTTAGTTCTCCAAGATGTTTGGAACAACTTACCTGCTGAGTTCCTTCAAAAACTGTGTGCAAGGGTACTCAGAAGAAGGCAAAGGGCGGTCACACCAAATATTGACTGGATTTGGATTTCTCTTCTGTTCATTTACTTTCCATTTTGTTGATTGATAAAAAAATAAACTATTAACACGTATTTCCGAAAGTGTTCTTACTTTACAGCATTACAGCACACCTGCCTAAAACATTTGCACAGTACTGTAGATTTGCTAAAATAATAGTAGAATTTGTGCTTACAGTGGGGTTTATATTTTTCTCTTTAAGGGCCCATTCACACCAGTGGGCATACGTTATTGTGAGCATTTATTTAAAGCCAGACTCCAGCCATAGACTTTTACTAAGGGGAAAAATATATGACCTCT